GGGGCCAGGTGAGAGTCGTTGGTACTGGAGCTGAAACCCAGAAGCAGCCCAGATTTCTCTCCCTCCTAAGAGGGCAGGGCCGCTGAGCAGGAGGAAGGGGTTATTAATATGTGCAAAACCAGGGACAAACCTCGGAGTCACTCTGCTGAATGAAAAGAGTCCGGGCTCTCCCCCAAAATACATGTTTCACGGTTCTGCTTATAGAAAAATCAAACTGAAGAGGGGCGGGAAGCCGACCTTTGACTGCCAGGGAGGGAAGAGAACTTGGGGGGTGACAGATGCACAGCCGGCCTGACGCCGGTGGGGTTCTCATGGGCGTAGACAGAAGGCAGCGCGTATGAAACTGTACCCTTCAAACAGGAGCATTACCGTGTGTCAACCTCACCTTCACAACGCTGCTTTACAAAATAGGAGTGTGATTTACAAATATAAACATGTGACTTTTTTGTTTTTTTAAAGATACTAGGGATTGAACCTGGGGCCTTTGCACTGAGCTCCATTCCCAGCCCTTTTAAAATGTTTTATTTGGAGGCAGTGTCTCACTAAGTTGCTGAGTTGTCCAGGCTGGGCTTGAACTTGTGATCCTCCTGCCTCAGCCTCCGAGAAGGCTGGGATTACAACTGGGCACCACCACGCCCAGCAATAAGCAAGCGTTTGCTCTCCTGCCCGCTGCCGTCTAAGGACACCGAGACTGGTTCTGTGAGAGAACACTCAGTACCACATGCTATTTCCTCCAGGAGTTGGTGGTGGGAACGTCCTGTTTATGAGGTCTCGTTAAACGGGTTATAATTCCATAAAAGCTCCTGTAACATCTGATATGAGGCCTGCAGGGCTGAAACCACCACCTCTCGTGGCAAAGAAGTTCGGAGCCGTGTGTCCGGTGGTCCAGCCTCTTCCCCAGAGTGCAGAAGGCCCTGGGTGGCATCTCGTCAGCAGAACTAATGGAGTTAGACACCGGTTCGGAACCCACATTTCACAGCCCAGCCCTGACACCAAGGGTTGTCACTGGGTGTGATGGCAAGTGCCTATAATCCCAGCACTTGGGAAGCCGAGGCAGGCGGATTGCTGTAAATGGAGGCCAGCCTGGGATACATGGTCAGACTCTGTCTAAGAAAAGAAGGGCTGGAGATTTAGCTCAGGGGTGCCGCTGCCTGCCTCGCAAGCACAGGGTCCTGAGTTCAATCTCAGGTACAAGAAAAGAAAAGAAGAGGCTGCTTCTGTTGACCTTTGATCAGTACCAATTCCCGTGTGCCAGCCACTGGACCTGGCACCTAGATGGGTCTCGGCCACCCAAACCCAAGAGTCTCTGGAATCCCCTCGAGTTCAAAACTTCCAGAACCTCCAGCCCTGGACTTCCCTACTATAAAAGGAAGGCGTGGGGCTGTTATGAGAAGCAAACCACAGAGCTCAGGTTTGGGCTCCTCCTGCCCTGCGCCTGGGCAGACATGCTCAGTCGATCTCCACACCCCGGCATGGACCGATTCTCCCAGC